ATTTCTCACCATTTCAGTCATGGCATCAACGGAGTAGGAAGATATCACTGCCTCTTGGCAAAAAACAAAAGAAAAGGCCAGATCATGGATGAAGAAGGGGAATTTAATACATTGGTGTTGCATACAAAACAGTCCGTAACTGGGCAGTTTATTGTGCGATACCACGTACGCGTATGCGGTCGTAAAATATTTGAGCTTTGCACGGAGGGTACGCTGGGGGGTATGCACGTACCTCTGCGTACGTACGTGCGTACCTCTGCGTATGGATGTACGCGGCAGTATACTGGGGGCTTTACTCAGCTGTGCGCGTCTGCCAACCGTTAATAACTACATAAGAGGCAAAGCTTAATTAAAAATGCTGGAGGGTCGGGTTCGGATCTGTAATTACTGATAATTCGTAGGGTTGGGTGGGGTTCAGAAATGATGGCTATGGGCTCAGACCAGGTTTGGTCGGAATTTTTGGGCCCGAATGCAACTCTGTTATGTTGTTCAGCAATAGTCCACATAGAGTATTTTTTGCTGCCTGTGGTACAAAATGAGGTTAAACTTTAAGTTTGAGATTTTGTACAGTCTGGAAAGGGAAAAAAAAAGTATTAGGGAAAACAACATAATTCAAAGGAGAACAATAATTTGAAGATAACATTATAAAATACAATGAAAAGTAAAAATAAAAAAGTTTTGTTAAGTTTTCAAATCAATAAAGAACACTGCAAAATAAATTATTTATCTGATGTTTCTTTTTTATTATTATCTTGTTCAGTATGTTTTGACCTTGTCAAAAAATGCAAGGGCAATTCAGCTAGTGTTTCTGTGATGGAATTTTAACAAAAGCCTACATCATTATTTAATAAATGTAAAAAATTATAATGATGTCAATATGTGTACAAACACATTATTCCTTCAGTGGGGTATTTCAAAATTTAATAAAAAACTAAGAACATGTTAAAAAGCATCACATGGGACTTGAATTCCAGGCATCTTGGAAAAACAGTTTTAATTTGAGTAGCGCATATCCTACTTTGGTTCTTCTGTACTTTATTAGTTGTTCAGCATTTGATTCCAAGGTCAGCTGCTGCAGCTGGTACACCATGCACCACCAAGGACACCTGGTATTGTATCTAAGAGATTCTACCAGCTTTGATAAAACTCCACAAATTGATGCTCTGGGAATTAGAGGGTGGCTTGACAAAAGCTAACGTTCTCACAGTCACATATTTGTTTTACCAGTGCACACAAATGAAAGCTCAATATAAATGCTTACATGTCAATCAAGCAAATAGGACATATTACATTAAGTACTTACTTGAAAGCATCATTATCACCACTGACTTTTATTGGGTGGACAGTTATTGTAAATTTTAACATATACGTGACTTCTTCCATTTTCTTTCGGCGTTTCCCTCTTCATTGTCACCACAGCAATTCGTCATTCTCCATCTCACTCTGTCCTCTGCATCCCCTGTCCTCACTCCAACTAACTCCATGTCCTCTCTAACTGCGTCCATATATCTCATCTTTGGCTTTCCTCTTTGTCTTTTTCCTGGCAGCTCCATTTCTAACATCCTTCTACCAATATACCCACTGTCCCTCCTCTAGACATTGCCAAACTAACTCAGTCTGGCCTCTCTAACTTTATCTCCCAGTTTTTCAACCTGTGCTGTACCTCTGATGATCTCATTCCTAATCTTATCCATCCTTGTCACTCCTAAGATGAACCTCAACATCTTAATTTCTGCTACTTACAGTTCTTTCTCCTGTCTTTTTGTCAATGCCACTGTCTCCAGACCATACAACATAGCTGGTCTCACAACTGTCTTGTAAACTTTTCATTTGACCTTTGCTGACACACTTTTGTTGCAAATCACTCCTGAAACTTTTCTCCATCCATTCCATCCTGCCTGGACTCGCTTTATCACCTCTTTACCACACTCCCCATTTTCCTGGACAGTCGACCCCAAGTACTTGAAGCCCTGCACCTTTGTGACCTCTGCTCTTGTAGCCTCACAGTTCCACTAGCTTCCCTCTCATTCACACACATGTACTCTGTCTTAGTACAGCTGACTTTCATTCCTATTCTTTCAAGTGCACACCTCTATGTCTCCAATTTCTCTTCCACCTGTTCCCTGTTCCCACCACAGATCACAATGTCATCTGCAAACATCATAGTCCACGGGGATTCCTGCCTAATCTTGTCTGTTAGTCGGTCCATCACCAGAGCATAGAAGAAGGGACTCAGAGCCAGTCCTTGATGCAATACCACCTCCACCTTGAAGTCACCCTTACAGCACATTTCACCACTGTCCTACTGTCATACACGTCTTGTACCAGTCTAACATACTTCTCTGCCACTCCATATTTCCTCATGCAACAACACACTTCCTCCCTCAGCACCCTGTCATATGCTTTTTTGAAATCCACAAATACACAATGGAGTTCTTTCTGACCCTCTCTGTACTTCTCCATCAGCATCATCAAAGCAAAGATGACATCTGTGGTGCTCTTTCTTGGCATGAAACTATACTGCTGCTCACAAATAGTCACCTCTTGTCTAAGTCTAACTTCCACAACTCTCTCAGAGCTTCATCATGTGGCTCATCAACGTAATCCCCCTGTAGTTGCTACAACTCTGTACATCACCCTTGTTCTTAAAAATGGGCACCAGCACACTTCTCCATTCCTCAGTCATTTTCTCACCCTCATATATGCCATTGAATGTTTGTGTCAAAATCTTCAATGC